ATATATATATATATATATATATATATATATATATATATATATATATATATATGGCCTGACGATTGCATATAGCATGAAACAGACTGCCGCCTCTAAGTGTTGACTTCTATGTTCACTTTTATATTTACACACGCTCTATCTCTGATATTGAGCAATTTATTCCATAAATATAGCACACCTTAAGACTATATTTCTTTATATATATATATATATATATATATATATATATATATATATATAGAGAGAGAGAGAGAGAGAGAGAGAGAGAGAGAGAGAGATAGATAGATAGATAGTGAGAGAGTATAAGATGCGTGTTCTTCACCTGATGAGATGCTTACGCATCGAAACAAATATGCATCTTTGTCGTGAGTACTTGTTTGTCCGTATGTTTGTCCGTATGTAACAACTTATAATAAATAACTATAGCTCTACTCTTGGTATTGAGTCCTCTTTTAAATTAATATTATGAACGCTTGAATTTATATTCTTTTCATTCTCATTACATTTGGATATATATATATATGTGTGTGTGTGTGTGTGTGTGTGTGTGTGTGTGTGTGTGTGTGCAAATATATTGATAAAATAGGAAATAACCGTTAGATTCATAATCCGAAGTTCTTTAGTATTTTTGTTTTTATTTTTAAAAAACAGTGTTCGATACACAAGTAGAGCCTAGATTATATTTTTTTTTTAAATATGATTCCATCGCTACCATGTTTTAAATAGAGAAGCTAAAAACTTGCAATTTGATTATAGAATTAAATTAAATTAAAGTACCTAGTTCTGTTTCAAGCGAATGTTGGAATAACTTATTTTGAAATTTACGGAGGTTTATAAGCACATACATTCATAATATTATTTTCTATGAATATGGAGAAAACCAATCATATCAACAAGGGGCGGTAGGGTATTCATTTTCACTGACAACTACTGTATCAACATATTAGTTACTTTTGAAAAGAGGTTAAGTTAAGGTAGGGTAGGGGTGCCTTAGTTTAATGGGCAATGCAATCTTCAGGTGCTAAGCAGGGACTGACCGATACATAATTTAAATTTTAATTAAAAAAAATATCTGGTTAACGCAATGCTGGCGTAGTCCATGTATTATACGGGAATTACGTTTTTGTTTTTTTAAATATGTTGCATTTAAAGTAGACGATATCTTTATTTTAGATATGTAAAATAAACGGAGATAAATATTTTATATTTAAACTAAACAGGGATTAATATATACATTTATAAAGTGGACATCGTGGTCAACACCCAGTCTTTTTCATGCTTGGGTGCAATCTTCATCATGAAATAGTGGTCGCTCGGTGTTGACCTTCGTGTCCACATTTATATTCATATACGCTCTATCCCTGGTATTGAGTACTTATAACTATGAAAATAGTATACCTTAAAAGTTTCTTTTTATCATATATATATGTGTGTGTGTGTGTGCGTGTATGTATGTGTGTTTGTATGTGTGGTTGTGTGCGCGCGCATGCGCGTATAGGCGCACTCGAAATAGAGAAAAAATTTCCATCACTGATAGTGAGTGCTTTCTTATAATGATTTCTTGATGAGAGCACTCCTGTTTTAATATCATCGAAAAAAATCTCCTATAACCACGTATTGGTAAATACAAGAATTATTGTGATAACATATTATTATCACTGTTTTCACAGTCATCAAACAGCATATCTTACATTATAATTGTTTCAAAAAATATATATGACGAATTCGTGATTTTCTTTCTTTATTTAAAAACGAGATTTGGTCCATTAGTGAAACTCATATAGATTGTTGGTTTTTATAAACTCTGACGTTTTATTAGGCATATATTTATTAGTTATTTGCTTTAATAATTTAGTAGTTTAATACTTTTATAGGTAGGATAATTTTTATAGACCAGTCATTTATACTTTTGTGTTTATAATGGAATATTTTCGATACGCACACTAATCCGACTACGAAGCGATGACAGATAAATGTGAGGTGGTGTCGCCTATTCTGAATTATCTTTACTCCAAAGCAGTCACGAAGACGACATGAAAATTCATAAGCTATATAGCTTATTTGATTTTCCCACGATTTGTGCTTTTAAATATATTTGAAAGACACTCGACTGAGTTAATAATCAGTGATATACACCATGTTTTCTTTTTTACCAATTTATTTATTTTCTTATATATATAGGTTATGATGAGTAAATTGTCGCCATTTTATATTTTGAAGTTCGCGCATGCGTGTTGATTCTTTTTTATTTTGTTCACTGTACAGTATAATAGGGTCAGTTGGGCACCGTCAGTCAGAAAAAGAGCACCATGATGAAAATCACTCCGCCAGAAATTTGGAAACGGCATGCTGTACTGCTTGTCATTCGCACCGGAAATTACAATACGAACATTTCAGAGTGTTTGGGTGTCAATCTAGGGAAAGTGCAGAGGGTTCGAAAAATGGTGGGCGAGTCTAATGGTGATTCCGAAGGTGTTTAGAGTGGTCACTAGTGATGGAGAAGTTACGTCTCCATTCATCATCCCACAGGGCCCCAAATTTAACACAAAGGTCTACGTCAAGTGTCTTGAGGAGGTATTGCTCCCCTGGGTAAAGGGGGTGGCCGATGGAAGAACCTACGTCTGGCAACAGAACAGTGCATAGGATTTGGTAAGAGTTGGTTGAGTCTAATTACAATTCGGATGAACTTTCCGCTATGATATCTAGACTTTGAATTTAAGCGCAGTACTAGATTGGCTAGTATGTCTCATCAATTTACAGTTGATCTGGCTAGATGTAACCGTAATTTCTATACTAACAGTTTCTTCTCTTGCACTTATGGAACTACCTTTCGGCCAACTTCAATCTTCAAAAATTTAAATGTAATGTCAATCGTTATCTTCTTGATTTCTCTTTTTTATTATTTTCTCTCCTTAATAATGTTTCTCTATTTTTTCATTCTCAATAACAGCTCGTGTCTCAGTGGCTTTACTACTTTGCTTGGGGTGGAATGATTTTTTAAAAAAAAAAAGGATTCAGGAAAATAGAAGATGGCGATTGATACAGCATTTAAATTTTGAAGAGAGCAATAAGCCGAAAGAAGATTCCACAAACGATAAGTGCGAGAAAAAACTATTAGCATAGAACTTATGGTTACGTCTAGCTATTCCAACGATAAGAGCTATTTGCCATTATAGTATTGTGTCTAAATTCATGCAATCTATATACCAAGTAAGAAAGCTCATTAGAACAATCGCCATGAAAATATTTATAGAAAATATTGTGGTGTCCTTTCTCTAAAGAGTCTATGTTTGACTCTTCCGCCTACTATAAAATTAGTAGGAGAGAAGGACTTGGGGGAACAGATTGGACACTGGGTCAACCGACACACACTCACTAGTCGTGTAATACTCTTCTCTTGTATTTACAGTTTAATATATGATATATCTGCAACACTTGTTTTGTTATTTCTTTAACCTTTTACTTGGTCACAACAGAAAAGACGCAGGCAAGCAACGTCACGGAGATGGAAATGACTGAAGTGGAGGTGCCAGGTCAAGACCGATAATATTACAGACCCTTCATTGGATTTTATCAAGATCTTGAGATATGTAACAGGAGCACCAGACCAGACACAGCAGCGAGTAACTTACTTAATTTTTTGAGTGAAATGGTGATAGAACAAAGAGGCATGGCAATGATTTTAAACCTTTTTTAGAATAAGTTTCATTATGTACAAAGCCCGGGGGCCACTCGAGCTAGAGGGTTACGTTAGGACACAGTTTGTACAGATAAGAGAGGAAGCTAATGGTTAACCCTAGACTTCAACTGGTTAAGATTGTAGTGATCAGGGGAACATCCTCTTGGGAGTCGGTTCCACAGAGCAGTGGTTAGCGGGAATAAGCTGTTCGAGTGGAACGTACTTCTCGCCGATGGGATATGCAGGGAATGTGGATGGTTTGCTCCAATGTATGTGGCATGGCGGGTCCTTGCCGTGAAGGTTACGCCTGGCGGAACCAGGAAATGTTGTTTGTCCCAGCACTTACCATTTAACGATAGAGAAGAGAGACGTTTGCTACATCCAGCCTGTGAGAAAATGGTTGGATGCTGGAAAATATGCCTTAACCCACAATGACACAGAGACGCTTTTGGGCTCTATCAAGGCTGGAGAGCCCGGTCTGTTCAGCTCCCTCTTAACTATGACAACAGTACTCCATTCTTGGCCTTATCTAAGTTGCGGAGGGCCATGGTTGCCAACGTCCTGAAAAATAATAGAAGAAAATATTGGGATAAAGCTCTGCAAAAGACATTGGAAAACATGATAATCCTCCTTTTGTTACTAATTATAGCAAGTCTTCATATTTTAAAGCTTCGTATGCAACACAATGAAAAACTTGAGTCTTCTTCAAGCAATTACGTCAAAGACGTTTAGGGATGGAATCTTTTGAAAGGTTGGTTTCGTCAGCTACCTTCATGGATTCTTTTTTAAGCATTTTCCGTAAATGGAATAAAACGCTGGCGAAGCGCAGTAGTCACAAGACAAGATAATAGGCAGACTGTAAAGTTTAATTTGAGAGCATGCAAAGTTGATATACGATATGCAACAATCCCGCAGAGATTACCGGACGAAATGCATTTAATTCGACACGACGAAGTCTGTGTGACTCCAAATGAAAAGGAACCCGACAGTTATTCGATAGAGAAGAGATAAGTAGCCGCTGCAGGTGATCAGCTGAGAAGAACCTTGTACGGAAGTCAAAGTAGAATGTGCTGACTCAATGGTAGAGGCACGGACGTGTATCCCCATTGTCAGCTATAGAAGTGTCTTATTTCCAACTCGCTAACAAGAAAGATTCTTACAATACATACCAGAAGATTGATACTTTCACAGATAATTCTAACACGAGACAAGTCAGCTTGTTTTCCTTATGTAATTTACAATGAATTCTTAGCCTTTTTCTTCTACGTGCTGTAACTATTCAGGAGATGGGAGATCACTGCTCTCTACAACTTCCTATGGCTTACGGCCACATTACGTTGAAACACCAGTTCTCGTACGATTACTGAAGTTAAGCAAATTCGAGCCTGGTCAGTACCTAGATGCGAGACTGCTTGTGAATACCCTGTGCTGTAAGCTTGGATATTTTTTGCTTACCTAGAGTTATATTTACCAACTTTGTATTTTCTACTCGTGTTCATTTTTTATCAACTGTTAAAAAGGCAGTCCTCAAGGACACATGGCACAGTGGATAAAGGCGTTGGTTAGATCCAGTGACAGGACCCAAAGAGTGTGATTTCAATACCCGGTTAAGGCAGTGGAGAACTTGGAGAGGGAAATTAACAGGAGATGACTGATAACTGACCTCCATTAAACAAGGCACGTGGAACTAGAACAGTCTACCCCAGTGAGTGAAATAAAGGGTTTAGTTCGACATTCCAGCCACCTGAAGAAGGCCGGAGCGTACAATGGCCGAAACGTTGTAATAAATATGGCGACAAAGATGAGGACAATAGTCCGAATAATGTAAATAGTGTACATAATACCTCATCTCAGAAATATAGACAGATACTGCAGTATCAATTATTTTATTGTATGCTATTATAAATACTGACTTCATAACATCCTAGTATATTAGGTTTAAATCCCAATTTATATTTTCATTTTTTCTATATGCTATCTTGTTCCAAAGTTAATAAACTTGTTTATTTCTGAGTCTGTCTACCTGAAGAAGGCCGGAGCGTACAACGACCAAAACGTTGTAAAAAATATGGCGACAAAGATGAGCACAATAGTCCGAATAATGTAAATAATTGTTTATTTCTCTACAGCTATTTTGTAATTGTATTGTTTTCCAATATTTTTTTTTACCTAGCGTTTTATATATTTAAAAACTGTTAATTTGGCGGGGTGGTTCTAAAACATGCAATGTATATAATGTTTACATGCATATATTATATATGTTCCCCATGCTTCCGTGGTATGCATTTCAAATAGCCTCTGACAACTAAGTCCAGCTTCAAGGTGGAGAATAGGCGAAGGCGATTGACTGACGCCTCATAACCAGCTGCATCGTGTAGATGGAGACCCACCCAGGAAGGCAGTTCATATAAAGGAAAAACCTAATTTTAAATCCCCGCTGCCTTGCGGTCATCTTTGAATAAGAAAAACAATGGAAGTAAATCTAGACAGAAAACCCGAAGTGAAGCCCCGAAGGCGGTTGGCTGTCAACTCTGACAACTTTCTGGCAACTCTTGCAGCCAATCTGCCCCTAAATCTAATGCCCTGTATTCGTTTGAATTTTGTCTGTACTACTGATATGAGGGCCATGTAGTCTGGGCAGCGCTTGACCACTATATATCATCGCCCAGTAGAATTTACTTGTCTCACTAACAAAGGATTGAATTTTGACCAAACAGGTTGCTACGTTTATCTTATGAGATAAACGGGTGCTTACTATGGAACATCAGATAAGAATAAAAGAATGAAGGAAATCCATAAATCTAGAAAGTACGCATAGAGCGCATATAACTGCCAACGCCATTCTCAACGAAAAGCTGAATGAGAATCAATTCATATATAGATCTTATGTAGGGGAAGTAACTCTGAATGTTGCGAGTTTGTCTTCATATATTTAAACTTTCTCAATCAAAAATAAATACGTCTATCCATCATAAAATTTAATAAATTGTTCCTTTCTCCATGACCAAACCTTTTCCCAAAATAATGAAATGCATTGCGAACTTTTGGAGCCATTATATGGACAAACAGATAAATATGATTATATTCGTGCTCTCCATTCTTAGGAATATTTCTTTTTTACTGTCCTTCCTATTCCTTGTTCTATTTACACAAGCCTTTTAGATAGATTTCTGTTTCTCTCCTACTAGAAATATAGCCTGTGAGTAAAAAAAATTCCAAATTCTCTTTCCGGATTACGTGCCGTAGAAATTCCAGCTGTTTCTTTTGTTTCAATTTTCCTTAAAACTTCCTAGTTGCTCCCATGTTCCGCCCGTGCTATTCTTAGAATCCATCTGTAGAACCATATCTCTATTGCCTTATGTCTCCCCTTATCCGTGAGGAAATTGTTTTGCATCCAAAGAACAAAGAAAAAAATATAAGATATCATAAGAAAGAAAGAAAGAAAGAAAGAGAATATGAAATTACAAATACGAAGAAAGAAGGAAAGAAAGAGAAACGATATATGGCAAGTAATTTGGAAAAGTAAGACTTGACAAAAATGAAAGAGAAGTGAGACATGAAAAGAAAGAAAGAAAGAGACATAAAGAGAAATTACAAGAAAGAAGGAAAGAAAACGAAATGTGAAATTATAAGAAAGAAAGAATGAGAAAATACAAAAAAGAAAGAGAAATGAGAAATTGCAAGAAAGAAAGGCGAATGTGAAATTATAAGAAAGAACGAATGAGAAATGAGAAATTGCAAGAAAGAAAGAAAGACATGAAAAGAAAGGCACGTTGCCGAGGGTGCTGGCCTTGTTCAAATTGTTGATCACGCTAGATAACACACACAAACTGTATCTAAGTTCTGCTCAGCCTAGTTGCAGTATAAACCACAGGCGGCCTCTGTGGGTGTTGAGCAAACACCTGAGTGTGCGTCTGTAGACGGGTATCCTCGAATACGAGTGACCAGTTATTATATATATGTACGGTATATCACTAATGCAAGTAACTAAATATCGAAGAATGACATTTTTGCTTAGAAATCTTGCCTTTATTTTTAAGTCTTATCAATCGAAAATAAATGAAGTGAATGAAACACCCGTCAGTGGGACAATTGTGTATCCCTGGTAAATTGAACGACTTGCTAATAAGCTTTGCTTGTCGTTATAAATTTAATGACTGGAGCAGATATGGAGAGCAATAATTGTCACGTGGTTTGACATGTCGACGTTTAATTGGCCATCGTCTGGAATGAGGCAAGTGGTGACGCATGCGCATGCTTGTCATTTATGGTATTCCCACTTTCACGCCAAATACCAACTCACTTTTTCGCTACTTTTTAATTTCAACTTCGTGTCGGATTAGACACACCTTCCAATATTTATTTCATTTTATTCATTTTTTTTTTTTTCATTTTTTTTTTTTTTCATTTTATTTTATCTTTTTGATAGACATGACAAGTTTCCGGAGATCTTCCTAATTGGGCTAAAATACATTTCCTCACATTACTTTTGTTCACGACTAGGTTTTTTTGTTGTTCTTGTTTTTCTTGTTTTTTTTTTTTTTTGTTTTGTTTCATATTACTTCATTTTCTCTTATGTATCTGTATATCCATGAAGCATAAAGAAAAATAACTATATTTGAATACATAAAACCGGATAAAGTGCAAGTTAGAGTGAATAAGCACACATACATATATACATACGTACATACATTCTTATATAGCTGACACTCTTATTCGAGGGTACCCGTCTATTAGGAGGGCTAGACAATCCCTATTGCAGACGCTCTCTCAGGAACATTTGTGTTTGTTCAACACCCACACATGGGATTTATACTGCAATTATGCTGAGCAGACCTTAGTTACAGTTTCTGGGAGATAGCGTGTCATCTAGCGTGAACAAGGACAGCACACTCAAATCCTTGGTCATGATGACTTGTGACTTCGTGCTAGCACAGCTATCGAGGGGTTCCGTCTACCTAATTTCACTCACAGGGTGAGTGGTATGATTTTCAAGCACTTTCCAAAGGTAGCCTCCTGCTGGGATTGTCCCCTCCAGACCGATAACATCAGGAAGTCTACTTCCTGACAACTCAACCGTAGTGAGATTCGAACCCGGATCTCATGGGGTGGAAGGGAAAGTTCTAACCACTAAACATACATACATATATACATACATACATACTCGCTAAGGCAGAGTTTAGAGCTATATCATCATCCGATCACCGAAGTTAAGCAACCTCGAGCCTAGTCAATAATTAGATAGATGACCGCTTGGGAATATCGGGTGCTGCAAGCTTGGATGTGAGAATGACAAGTCAAAAAGCCGTGTTCAAATTCAAATCGGGTTCATTACATTCACTTACGCGCTAATACCCTTGGGAACAGGTATGAATTCATGTCTTCTCCCCGTCCATATATGTGTTAAAATTTTAAGATTTGTATCTGAAAATCATTATTTTCTCCAAGACATTGTTAATACCATATTCACTCGCAAAAAAGAGGAATTGTTCTTACAATCCAAAAATAGGTTTGGGTTTTAAATAACCTATATCATCAGTTCCCAACTCTATGTTGATATCACTATTTATTCCTGTTTAAATAGTAAGGGCGATAGACTCGACAAAGTAAATTTGGCAAGTGCTCTGACAAAAAGCGGCTTGTTAATGTTCTAACTAAACTGCTATCTTTTACACTATTTACATTGCTCGGACTATCACCCTTATCTTTATTGCCATATTTATCACAACGTTTCGGCTGTTGTACGCTCCGGCCTTCTTCAAGTGGTTGGAATGTCGAACTGGACACTTTGTTTCGCTCGCTGGGCTAGACTGTTCTAGTTCCATGTGCCATGTCTAATGGATGCCAGTTATCGGCTGTTAATTCCTTCTCCAATTTCTCCACCGCCTTAACCGGGTATTGAACTCACATTCTTTGGTTCCTGTCACTGAATCTAACTAACGCCTTTATCCACTGTGCCATGTGTCCTTGAGGACACATGGCACGTGGAACTAGAATAGTCTATCCCAGCGAGCGAAATAAAGGTTCAGTTCGACAGTCCAACCATCTGAAGAAGGCCGGAGCGTACAAAGACGTTGTGATAAATATAGCAACAAAGATGAGGATGACAGTCCGAGCAATGTAAAAAGTGTACATAATACCTCATCTCAGAAATATAGAATCTTCAATTATTGCCCTGCAGCTGTATGGCCGATGCTAACCTCCAGGAGAACAAAATGCACATTCTTAGACACACATTTTCTACTGACATGAAACTGAGTGATGATATTGAATCAATTTTAGATTAGTTAGTAGGAAAGCTGTAGATCTAGAAATTGATGTCGTGTCATGCTAGACAGTTTTTTTCTCGCCAGAATCCACTTTGCACATTTATAAATCTATCATTTGTCCATACATTGAATATCGCTGAAATATCTCGAGACTCTCGACAAAATCCAAAGAAGAGTATGTAATGTTATCGGTCCTGACCTGGCATCTCGGTTTCATTTTCCCATTGTCGTGAAGTGGCTTCCCTGTATCATTTCTATAAATATTTTCATGGCAATTTTTCTCATGAGCTTTTCTCATTAGTTCCTCGGCTGCATCATGGTTTTAAGCATACTACTAGATTGGCAACTAGGTTTCATCGCTTTCTTCTTTCTTTCCCAATCCTGTTCTTTTATTATCCTTTCTCTTCACTAAAGCTTCTCATTCTTTTTCACTCTCAGTAACTCCTTGCGTTTTAGTGGCATTATCGCCTTGCTGTGGTGAAATTATATATTCTGATTTTTTTAGCAATTTAATTCTATTTAGAACCTAAAAAATCTTTCCTTGAAAATTAGAAATTCATGATCACAAGACTAGCTTCGATAACATCTGGGCGAGAATATGTTAAAGATCTTTCTGTAAAATGTAGTTTTATAAAAGAATGGCGTCTGCCAAACATGAAAATCACCAGCCTCAATTACTTAACTCGAAATATATCTTGCGTTTCCGCCTAGTTAGCTATGCAATGTCTAATTTCCTATATGGCAATGAATGCTGGACAATCTCTTCATAAATGAAGAATAGACTTAAAGAGACAGAAATGTGTTTCCACTGACGTATACTGAAAAAGAAAATATGAAACAAAAAGTTTACTGTTATTTACAATCAGAAACAGACTGATGCAATTTCTGAGACACATAGGGAAACATGAGGAAAGAGAGTTTGCAGAATTTAATACTCGCTAATACTGGAAGCAAGAGAAGGAAAAGCGGGTTTGTCTTAAAAGATGGCAGGATAAGAATAAAGAAATATTTTAGTGACAAAAGTTACTTTCGGCAGTAAATGACATGAAGATTTATAAGAATACTTTCTACTATAATAAAAGTAAAAAAAATATCTAGACATCCTCAAGAATTCACAGTTATCAAAAGTATGCTACAAGCCATTTTTGGAGATTCCATAATTTCAAAAAAACCTTTTTGTTTAAATGTACTGTTGAGCTTCTATCAGGAAAAGAACTTTTTGTGACTGTAATTTTTTTTTCTTGATAACCAGTTATTTTAATATTGACACCAACCTTACCTTAAGCTTTGTCTTACATTTCCAGGTAAGTGTCCAATGCTGCTGGAGTTTTTCGCTTTGACGATGCCATCTTACAATGTCAAAAAATGTTCTTTTTTGTCTTCTGTTATTATCACTCTGCCATTCTTAAAGAACTGTCCAGATTTACCTCTCCAGCCTTGATAGAGACCAAAAGCGTCTCTGGGCCCTTGTGGGTGACGAATTATTCTCCAACCTCTCTCCCACAGTCGTAATACGGCGAGCCTCTCGCTGCCCTATCGCAACTTCTACGGAAAGTGCACAAACGAACTACATTACCTAGACTCGCCATTTCCAATCTTCACGGCAAGGACACATCATACAACTTAGATTGTAGCAAATCACCCACATTCTCTCCGTATTCCAGCGGTGAGAAGTATGTTCCCCTCGAACAGCTTATTCCTGCAAACCACTGCTCTGTGAAACCGACTCTCAAGAGGATGTTTCCCCAATCACTGTAATCTTAATCTGGTCAAGTTAACCGACATCTTCCATTCCTGTACGAACAAATTGCCTCCTAACGTAAACCTCTAGCTTGAGTGGTCTCCGGGCTTTGTAAAGAGTGAGCTTTACTGTAAAAATAAAAATAACTCATCCTCTGAGCGAATATATGACGAGTTAACAACGCATCAACTAATTCAACTTATTAACTTTTATTTAAAGTACAAGTAATACTACGATTTATTGAACAATCTAAATTCCTTATTTGCTGAATATAGCCATAATTTTTCAATCAGTAAAGATATAGATAGTAAACAGTTTCCCCGATAACGATTTGGAAAATGCAGAAAATATGGAGCACTCAGCATGAATCGAACTCACTACTCAGTCATGTTTGATCTTGAGAAACAAGCTCGCTAAACATTACACCTCATCGAAGTGCTCCAGTTTCCCTAGTATAGTGATTTTCCAAGCGTAGCTCAGATGTGGCACAAGGCCGAAAGTATGGGGCACCCAGTGAGGATCGAACTCACGACTCAGTTATAATTGTTCTAGCGAGACAAACTTGCTAAACATTACACCTCGTCGAAGTGCTCCAGTTTCCCTAGTATAGACAAATTAGCGAAGCATTTGCTCTTATATATGAAAAAAAAATGCGTAGTAATTTATCTTGGTAAGGAGGTCCCTTGATTAAAATTAAAGAAATATGAAAGCAGGAAATTCGCATTGAAATAATGAGTGATAATGTCTCACGAAAAATACCTTTGAAAAAGGAACCAATTTAGAAATAAAATCTATTAGAAAACAGTGAACATGTAGTCAAAGTTAAAATAACACTAGTAACTTATCGGCCAGTTCATACTCATTCCTCATCTTTTGAACAGGTTTATCGCTTGTTTCTTGTTTAGGATTGTGTTTACGCTTCCTTCTCTTAAAGTTATCTCATTCTCTTTCACTCCCAGTAACTTCTTGTGTCTTAGTGGTATTATTGCCTTGCTTGGGATGAAATAATATTTTTTAAATTCATTCAATCCCATTGTATTGAAATTTTAGATACCTGATCTCTCTAGCTATTGGTACAAAATAGTACTGAACCACATATTTTGTTAACAAGTCGCTCACATAGACTGTTGCTTTTAGTTGAGATGAATCACTATTATGGCGATGGATGGACTTACATAGCAATTTTTTTTTCAGAAGATACTGGCTTGCTAATTTCCCATCTGTGACAGTGAATGTCTGTCCGATTCAAAGCCTGAATTTTAACTTTGACTTAAATAACTGTATTTGGAAACAAGTTGGCTCGTGATTTCGCCACAAATTAAAACGAGGCTTTGTAATTAAAAAAAACATCTGATATTCTATCAATTATACAAGATATTAGACTCGGAAACATTGACAGAACAGATTGTGTAAACATAGTTTTTTTTTTTTTACAAATAGATGAAAACAGAATTTGCTAAAAGAAAGCCGTACAAAGTAGGGCGTGGCCTAATTCATCTCTGTCTTTTAAATTATGATATGAAAAAAAAAAAACTAAATATCGATACAACCTTTTAATTCATCAAAACCGTTTTCCCTGTGCAGAAAGAAAACATAAATGTACGTAACCCACAGGATAAACGGATATTATTAAAAACTCTCTTATTACAAAACACCTGTTATTTATGAATTCTTAAACAATATCTTTTTTTTTTCGTGTGTCGTGTCCATTCTTGATGTGGGCGATCATCACTCTCCACAACTTCCTCTTCTTTGTGGTTCTTATTAATGTTTATCTTTTCATCATCCCTCGCACTCCCGTTCTGCAATCCATTCATATAAGCTTGTCAGTTCACTCTCGACATTCACAGTTGACATTCAGAGCACATAAGTTATGTCGCTATGTTCTGTGAATGTCACCTTTCCAAAGCTCTCTATCCTCATTATGTATTCCAGAAATTCCAGCCCCCCCCCTTTATTAAGTATAAGTGTCCTTTTCGTTTCCATTGTCCTTAAAACTCCCCGTTCCTTACCACGTCCCAAACACCCTTTCCTTAATTTTTTTCTTCTAAACCTAAAACTTGTTCCGCCATCCAAGCGCGTGTAGTAAGTTATGCATTGTTTTTTATTGTCCCTATGGGTCTGCAATCTGTCCCGTGAATATCAAATTTTCCAAGCTCTCTTTCTTCTTTATCTGCCATAGAAATTTCAACTGTCTCTTTCGGATGTTAAGTATAAATGTCCTTTTTATTTCCATTTCTCTAAAACTTCGTCGTCGATCACATGTT